AAAATATATCTTTCATTTTTAATTTAATTCCAAATACGTTACTAATTCATGCTTGTTGCATTATCTTTATGCATTGCATAATCTGTATTTTATGCCTATTATTATCAGACCCTTTATAAAATTTCTAAAATTCATGCTAGTAAGAATCAATAATTTTTATACCTTAAAATCCTTTTTTTTTTTTATTAATCCAATGCCTCCTAAAACCCAAAAACATAGATCTGGCCTAAGACAAGATAAAGTTGTTTCAGTAATTATATATTTAGATGCTGACTTTTTATTGTTTTTGTCAGGCATTGGATGCTTTGAGATCTGGTCCTTCTACCGCAAAAAAACAAAAAACTACAAATGAACCTATTACCCAACCTTTAAAGCACATAAACAATAATGTTGAAAATGCTAATATTGATGGCATTGATAATGATATTCAAGATTCTCTTTATATAATTACTAAAAGCCCACCTCACTTTCCATTTAGTGAAATGTCAACAAATATTTTAGGAAATTTACATACCAACATAGAACATGGTCAGTTTTAAAAATACAAATAAATTCATTATATTTTAAATTAAAATATTAACTATTGAATCAAATTAGTACAAAGTGAAAAAAGCGAAACAATAAATTCAATATTAGAAATATCCAAACGATTATTAACTCAAAACACATCAATCATGGAAAGACAAGAAGCCTTAGAGGTCATGGTTACTCAACTAATTAATGATATTAAGACATTACAATCTTCATATCAAAAGTTAAAAATTAAGAAAAATGATTGTGAATAGTGGCAGGTATATTATTGTATTTTTATTATAATACTATGTATAAGATTGATTTTTCATTCTTGCTATCTATTAGCAAATGAAAAATTAAGGTCAGTATGAAATTTGAGGTACTTTGATTTAATAGTTATTTTAAAATATCAGTAAACTAATCTACCTAAACTTTATTATTATTATTATTATTATCATTATACGAATGGAAATTCTATCTTATACTATTAGCTTTATTATATTATCAAACAATTATACTATTTTACTTAAAATTTAGAAAGAAGTAATGCAAGGTATTAAGATGACTGTAGACAATTGGCTTTATCCTAATGATAAGGTTTATGAAGAAGCCATTCGAAAGGAACTTGAAATCCTCTGCCCAGACAAAATAGAATGATACAGAAAAGGCACTAAATAGGAGGCTCTGTTTAATAAAATTGAAAATGTAGTAAGTATAATTGCAACAAGCTATTTAGAACTAATATTACTCAACTTCCTGATAGTCATTTTTCTGACAGGCCATCTAACTTACATCATATAGCATAATAATTTAATGTTTTATTAGTTGTAGTTATATTTTATCAGTGAGTTTTCATGCTTTATGATGTTGGTTAGATGTCCTGTCAGGGAAATGACCACCAGAAAATTTATATATAACTATTTAGAACAACTCAAACTATGTGATAATTAGCATATTGTTTTAGCAGTATTAAAACTAATATGATATTAGCTTGAACTGTTATTATTTTATAATCTAAAACTTTAAATATATGTAGATCAGTACCGAATCTTGCAGATATCGTGGGGCCTTATTTGGATCTTTCTGACATGCCATGTTTGAACATGTTTTTAAAAACAAGGTTTCACCAACTGTCAATTTCGAGAGCTCTGAAGCTAATATATTGTCTTGGAAATCAAGCGATGATGTACATTGGTGCTTGGAAAACTTGGATACAACGATAGAAGAGGAAGAAAAAACCTACCTTCAAATGGTTGCTAAAAAGTTGTTTAGTAGGCAAATTACTAATAACCAATATGCTGTTATACGGGCTATCTTGCATAACCTTTTTAATCCTGAAATCATTAAAATCAAGTTTGATGAGAAATACTTAACATGAAAGTTACAATGTTTTCTGGTATTTTTTTTTTTTTTTGTTTTGTTTTTATAGATATTTATTTATTAATTGTTTTATAATTTATAACGAAGTATAACAATACTGAAAGAAATTAAGATAATGACTCAAATGTGTCTGATAGTGAATAATGCTAAAGCATACCTATTACTACTACTGCCGCCGCCATAATGAGTTGTATGAACAGTGCACAAAATAGGATATTGATATTAATTAAAATAGTATCCCAAGATATATATATATTAGATATTTGAAGTTTATACAAAAAATTTGTATAAATTATAAGGTTATATAAAATTTATTTGAAATTTTATTTAATCAAATGTATAAATTTGATTTAAATTTGATTTTATTAAATTTTAAGTAAATCATTATTAAATTTTATATAAATTTTAATA